ACCATCTTTCACTTTTTGTGGCTAGACTTACGACTTTAGGATTTCTTTTAAAAATCTCACTGCTTTCAGCTATCCCACATGCTTTTAATAATGTCCTTTGTTATAGTTGAACCAGTATCTTAACCCTCTTTACTCTGGATTAGGAGTAGACAGTAAAAACACATGAAGCTAGAGATTATAAAAATAAATAAATAAATTATGGCTCAGTTGAATGACTGCAGGCACAATCTACTTTGTACATGTAGCAACATCTGAAGAATGAAAACTTTTAATATTAAAAGTTTCAGCTATGAATGAAAAACAATATGACTAAAGGCTGAAAATATTGTAGATAACTCTTAGAGAGAAAGCATGCTATACTCTGTTTGTTTGGCTGGGGTTTTTTTGGTTTTTGTGTAGCTACAGTGGTCATGGTGCAATGTTACTCTGCTGTCCATTTACACCATTCTTGTGGAAAGTCTTCTGTATTAAACCAATGGTAGCAGCAAACTTGCTGCTCTCCAGTTGCATCTTCTTTTACATTTTCACAGAATCACATAGGTTGGAAGGGAGCACTGGAAATTACATAGCCCAGCCTCCTGCTCAACCAGGCACAGTTAGAGCAGGTTGCTTGGGGCCATGTTCAGTAGAGTCTTTAATATCTTCAGGAATATTAAAGGCTCTTGAACAAGTTGCCTCACCTGGCAGCTTGTTCCAGTGCTTGACCATCCTCATGGTGAAACTTTTCCTGCATATATTAAGTTGGAACTTCACATGTTCCTGCTTGTGTTCATGGCCGCTTGTCCTTCCGGTGTGCATCTTTGAGAATAGTTTGACTGTTCTATGTCCTCTCATTAGGTAGCTGTAGACATCAATAAGGCCTCCTGTTAGCCTGGTGGGTCTTATAGCTGAACAAATATGTTATGGGGTCCAGACCCTGACCAGTGGACCCACTCCAGTATGCCAGTGTTTTTCTTGTATGGAGACCGCAAAACTGGATGCTACTCCAGATGTGGTCCCACAAGAGGCTGTAAGGATTCTGTGGGACACCATGACAAAGGCATGGCTAAAATCAGCATACAACATCCACTGCTCTCCCCTCAGTCACCAGAGGCAGTCATCTCATAGTAGAAAGCAGTCGGGTTAGTGTGGCATGATTTGCCCTTAATAAATCCATGCTGGCTGTTCCCACTCACCTTTTCGTCTTTCATGTGGCTTGGAATGGTTTCCAGGAGGGTTTTCTCCGTGATCTTTCCAGGAACTGAGGGTGAAGTTGATGGGCCTGAAGTTTCCTTGATCATCTTTGCTATGTTTTTTGAAGATGGATGTGATGTTTGTCTTTCTGCAGTCATCAGCCATCTCTTTTGATCACCATAACCTCCAAGAGAACAGAGGGAACATCGTTGCAATGACATAAGCCAGCTCCCTCAGCACTCCCAAGATCCATCCCATCTGGTCTCATGGACTTGTGTATGTCCAAATGGCTTAGGTACCTCTTAACTCAGTCTTTCTGTACTATGGGTAATGATACATACCCACAGACCCTGACAGTAGGCTCGGAGAACTAGAGAGCCACAGGGCAGACCTTCCAGTGAAAACCAAGGTAAAAATGTACCTCTGCCTTTCCATATTCTTTGTCACACAGTGGGCCTGTGTCTTCCTTAGCCTGCTTTTTGGTGCCACTGTTTCTATGGAGCACTTCTTGTTGCCCTTTGCATCCCTTGCTATGTTCAACCCCAGCGTGGCTTTGACTTTCCTAACTCCATCCCTGCATACTCAGGCAATGCTTTTGCATTCTCCTGAGTAACCTGTCCCTGTCTTCATCTTCTACATGCATTAGTGTTGCATTTGAGTTCATTAAAATTCATCTATCCTGGCCTTCTGCCAAAGGTGCTCAACTTTCTGCCCATATAAATGGGCTGTTCGTGTGCTTTGGGGAAGTTGACCATGAAGATCACACAGTTGTCCTGAGCTCCTCCTGAAGACCCGGTTAAGGATATGACCTATCTAGTAAGACTGGATGTTTCTTAAAAATAAAATCCTAAAGTTACAAGATAAAAATTGTTACATTTGTAGTAGAACTCAGATACAAACATGAGAATTCCTGTAACAGCACAGCACCTACATCCAGCTCAAGTAAATATTCCTTTATTATGTTCCTCTACCTTTGTTTCTGATTTTAATATCTATGTTAATATATACTGTTTCTATTTCAGTAGAGCTTAACTGTGATGCTGAAACATGAAATATGAATTAGTTTACAGTGCTGCAAATATTACACAAGTGTATCTAACTTGAAACAAGGTCTGTGGGAGTGGAAATCGTTTAGGGTACCATTGAGATCAGTGGGACCCAAACCAAGTGCACATTTGTGGTCTAAATCAACAGCTAAAAGAATGGCATAATAGTACTGGACATCCAGGTTTTCCAGAGTGTTCTCAGTCACTGAGAAAGGTGAAAGTCAGCTGGGACTTCTAGGCATAACTGGTTTCTTTATGAAAGTTCCTTGAACAGCATCTGGAATGAATGGGATCCAGGAACATTTCTTGATGGAAACTGTAGGTGAAATACTGCAAGCCTTATCAAAAGTCATCTGATTCTTTTTGAGCAACCACAGTTCTGTTTACTCAATGCCAGTGTTTACTAAGCTGTCTTTGTACAAACTGAATTCTCATTTAGGATCAAAAGCTACCTCTGTACTGGAAATAAAATGGGCCCAGGGATTGAGCTTGATCACTGGGCTGCTTCTAGTTCCTGCTGTTTAATCAGTCTGCCTGGCATGGTTTTTGTCTATACCACCTAGAGCTCTCTGGGACCTTTCTCTCTCTTGGCATGTTTTGGGTGCTACCACATGCCAGGAGCCATTTCCAGCAGGCAGGGTAGGTAAGACTCTACTTTTGTTTCCTTCCACCCTATATGGCCATACAACACTATTCCAGCAGGCCTTGTAGCCTCAGACACCTCAGATGCCATTGTGTCACCCAACAGGACATGCCCTCATTTTCATACCATTAAAACACCATCCTAATGGCTGTGATACAGTTCTCACTTTGAACTAAAAAAACAACACAAATAAGATCTTGGGGACATAGGGGTACTATGTAGGACTCAGAGAAGTATAACTAAGAAGACCCCAGAATCAAAATATAAGGTCAGATGTTTAGGAAGAAAGAGCCTGAGCTATGCTTGCAAATGAGAACTGTTTCACCATGACCCTGGTATCTTTTTATTTCCTTTTCTTAGGGACACTGGTTTCCAGGAGAGTCGGGTGGGCGTGTACAGTGTGTAAGGTCAGTGCCTTAAACCTGTTCCCCCTGTTGGTCATTTACACTTTGTTCCACATAATATGCATGTTATTCCATCTAGATAGACTGTTCTTTGCTTCCTGTCAAACCAAGTGTGCTGCAGAGTAACTGAGTCATGGATGTGTATACAAGCTAAATCCTGTGTTCTTGTCTCACTCACATACACCCACAGTTGACGTAAGGAGGACCAGTATTAAAACAGTGAAGTCAAGCATAAAGGTGTTAGACCAATGCTGTCTATTCTGTATGTTGTCTGACTCAGTGGTGGTATAATGCAAACAACAATCTGAAACAGTCCTTTCTTCCTCTTTGTTTGTTGTTTGGCTGTTGGCCTTTACATTTCAAGTCTGCTCTGAAGACAGAGTTATGAATTTTCTCATGGTCTCTCCTGCAGTGCTTATGAGCACTTCACAAAAATTCCAATTAAGGAAAATTTCCTGCTCTGATATAATCTTGCAGCATCTCATGGAACTTTGCCAGGAAGTTTCACAGGTACTGACAGCAGAGAGGTTAGAATCAGAAATCTGGGATTTGGCTCTATTTGGCTCTCAATGGAAGTGCATGTGCTTCACGGTTGCAGGAAGCACTCAGGTTGTTTGCATTCCCTTGTTCGGGTCCCTGCAATCTGTTCCAGTCCCTTTGCCACTCCAGTGCTAACTGTACTGTCTGTAAGCAGCACCGTGCTAGATATGTTTCCAGTGTCACATCCTCCCATTGCAACCCCTTTTCTCTCTCACCCAGATTAGTGCCACAGTTCAGTTTCAGCACCATTACCTTCCTAGCTGCTTTCCCCATTACTGTTTCCTCAGTCAATCAGCTTCATCTCTTAGGGCAGCCTGTTGGTGTGTTCCTTCTGTGCCTGGTCGTACCAAAGGTCAATTCCCAGCAGCAACATCTGACTGGCTTCTTTTTGGTCTCGTCTATGATCATGCTGCAGTGCCTCTGTTTGCGTGCTGGCTGTATGCTGAAGAATAGAGTCCTCTCTGAAAGCAGCAGAGGAGAAGCCAGATGCTCGTTGTTTATAAGGAGTGTCTGGATTCGCTTGTAAATTTGGCCTGGAAGGAGTGAGCTCAATTACTGGTGGAAGTGATGTGCATGCCATCTGGTCAGCTCAAAGTGTAGTGGGAGACTTTAGTATCCAAGCTGGAGATGTTAACTTATAAAATCTAAAGTCCAAATGCATACAAATCATATTCTATCCTCAGGAACTGTGGTGTCCCTCATAGAAAAAACACCTGGTGGTTAAATTTCTCATCCGTGGCTTAAGACATGATGTAGCTAGTATTTTTAAAAAGTAGATCAGTGGGACATGGGTGAAAAAAGTAGCTGAACTGTGTTGTGGCTAAAACTTTGGGGAAAAAAACTTGACTGAGGAAGATGCCTAGCATGGACAATTTTGGCTTGCCTCATCAAAAGTCACTGAATTTATGCCAGGTAAATTTGCTTTTGCCTGGAATATTTGCTAACATATAATAATTGGCAACATCAGTGACACCACTTAAATGTGTTTGTCATGGATTTAAGCAAGAATTGTGTGTTACGCGAGGAAAGCATTTGGTCCACAGATTGAAAAGTTTTCTGTCCTAACATGGTAAATGAGATGCTACAGCACAGTAATTTTCTATGTGACAAGGTAGAGGTTTTCTAGTGTCTAACTTGAAAATTATGTTTTAAAGATGTTTGTATTAACTGATAATTTCTTATTTTATTTAAGTGTCTGAAGAAAACAAGAAACATGGAAGGTCATAAGTAGTAAGTACCTTCATCATTTTTTCTTATTCTAAAGAGCTAATGGTGTTTGGCATGTTGATTTGTCACTGCCTGAGTCTATCACACATTGTGTTCTGGCATCTAGTATTTATGTGAAGTCACTGGTAGACATTCTAAAAAAGAAAAACTGCCAAAGAATGGAAAAAACAATTGAATTGGCTAGATAGAAAAATAGCACATTCTCAGTTTCCAGTTTAATGGAAAGAAGTGTATGAACTGTCGTATTTCAAGAGGTTTATCCGTGGTCGTCAAGTTCAGAATAAAGTACATCCTTCTTTTAGTTATATTTTCTGATTGTTTAACAAAACCTAAATACATCCATGGTTGCTTGACACAAAATCCATTTTAAAAGTTATTGACAAGTGTCTACCAGTAAAAATTGTCCACCGAATATTTCGGTAATGTGATTATAAATCTTTCATTATCTTAAACATAAACAGGAGCCAGTAAATTCTCCAAATGAAATTAGAAGCTGAATTTGTCTGTAGTGGTAAAAGATTATATTCTTCTTATTCCTTCAATTGGTTTATCGGTCTCTAATTCAGGAATCTGTATTAATCCCAGCATTTTTTTTTTTTTGTGACCTCATATTAATAACTCATTTTTATTCCTTGCACCATGCCCCTGGAATTTATAGTGACCTCAAGTGAGGTAGTTATCAAGGCTGGTTGACATCAGATGAATTATGGTGTTTTCTTCACTTGACCACTGAACTGAGATATCGGTTATTTGCACAGCTGTAGCAGAAGTTAAAGCACACAACTAGCCAGACAGCTAGGGTCTTTCAACTGCCTTGTGAACTGTTTGATTTTCATTATTATTTTTAAAGTAATGCTGTTTTTATTAAACTTACATATTCTGTTTTCTCATAATGCAGGGGGTGGTTCTTGTTATTTATTAGAGGTTGTAGATTTTGTATTTTAAAGGTGCAGCATATATCAGGTCAATATAGGCTTCACCTAACTTGACAGGCTGCCTGTTGTCAGAGTGCGTAATGATTTGTTTGTGCAGAATTCCACATGAAATGTGGTGTGTTTTGCATGTGTTGTTTATTTTGTGCTGTAGCACTAAAAAGGCCTTTATTTTAATTTTAATGAAATTCATAAGTGAAACTCTTCAAACTAATGTTTGGGTGGAATTAAATGGGTAAATATCTTTGCTTTTAAAGTTTGGGGAAGAAGCCAAGAAGTGCTGTGTATAAATGCATTTTGAATTTTGTCCTTGCTTGCTTCCAGTTTAATTTCTTACCATCTCTTTGGTGACTAAGGCACTGTCTCCTAATTCACTGATTAAAAATAACTAAAGCAAGTAACAAATCCCTGTGAAACAAACTTCCTTTTCAGGTTCAACTGCGTCACTAGTAACTATGTAGGGCCGATGTGCCACCCTTTTGGGGAACGTGTACCAATGGCTTGTTGTTTCAGAATGACCGTAGTATTTCACAGCAAGCATACCTATCTATCTATCTATCTGTACACATCTGTGTGTCTCAATACATGACTTGATGTGTATGTTGGGTCTGAAGACTTCTTGGGGTATCATCCCTGAGCTGTCTGTCTGTTGTGAACAGAGCTAGTGGGCAGTATCGCAGTAATGAACCACAGTTTGCCACTCCACAGGTGGAGGGTATCTTTTTCAAAATAAACTCAACCTCTTTAATTTTCCTGGAGTATTTAATATAGCAAGTTTTAGCAACCATTTACTTCTAAAGATCTGCAAAATCACTGCAGCTTTTTATATATGCACATAGGGGAAAAGGCATATGCTTTTGCAGAAATTAATAATGGAATAACACTTCCTGAAACAGATCAAGATTTCATTGTAAGGTTATATTTTCTATTAAACCATGTTGGTATGGTTTAAATATTGTGGAATATGGAGTTTGTCTTTAGATTGCACTTTCTACTAGGTCTGCTACAGGAATGCAGAATCATGTCAGTAGAAAATAATCCTGGAAAAAAAGATTACCTGTTACGCACCCACAGTTGTCATGTAGTAATTGCATAAAGAAAGACGTGAGCTATCTTATCTTTCACATAGCATGCTCAAAAGAGATGAGTGTTCTTCTAGTTCTTTATTATTCAATTGTAAAAAAGGGAGGGCAAGAAGTAGTCTTAATTCCATTCATAAAATGAACTTTGTGAAATCCTGACACTGCTGAAATTGCATGAATTTAAGCAACTAAGCAATTAAGCAACTCTGCTAGTTCACTTGAAATTCTCCTATTAGTTACATGAAAATAAAAAGTTAATTTCATGGGCTATAAATCATTCCATAATGCATTGGGAAGAATTCTTTGCAGCTGATTATTTGGCAGTACTACATGCTAAAAACATTCAAATTGAAAGCAGTGTATTATTTTCCAAAGTAGGATGGGAAATACAGTACTCATTTAATTACTTTGTTATTAATGCATAATGAGGAAATGCGTGTTAGAATATATGTGTCTGCACGCAAATGCAATATTCTTGATGGAAATGTATTAATCTAGCATGTTAGACTTATTTTTTAAGCATCCTATTGAAGTTTTGTAATTTTGTTTCTTAATATTCTAGTAATTATCCAAGGGAATTTTATGACCAATACGCTCAAAGCCAAGAAAAATCTGTGGTCAATAAAATGCAACAGAAATACTGGAAAACAAAACAAACCCTTATAAAAGTTACAGGAAAAAAGGAAGATGAACATGTTGTGGCTTCAGATGCAGATCTGGATGCAAAACTAGAGGTTTGTAATGTTTACATAACGTGTATTCTCTGTTAATTTTTAAAATGTTTTCATTTCCATCAAGCCTCTGATATGTGTACACATAGTATAATAATTATATACATTTTAATCATTATTTTCTTTTCATACCTTTTCCAGTTTTTGACAAAAGTACCTATGTAAATATGGGGAATATAGTGGCAGTTTGTAACACAGAAACCCATGTCCCTCAAACTTCATTTGGAACCTAACATCTCTCGTATTTATTTTCAGGTTTTGGGGGCAGGTTTTTTTCTTTTTTGTTGTCGGGGGGAGCAGGAGATAGTCCTTTGTGCTTATACCAGTCATTCTTATCCTTTGCTTATATCAGTTTAAGATTTTTTTTTTTAAATAGTATTCTATAGTATGTACAAGTGACATTCTTTACACAGTTATAAAATACCACATATACCAGAAGAACATGCAATATACTAGGAAGGAGTAAGGTGCGTAGTGCGCTCTGCTCTCTGGAGCTTTTGTGCAGATAAGTGGGTTTTGACATGACCAAAGAAGCTTCTGAAAATCTGTAAAGTGTAACCAAGAGAAGGAATCCTGCTGTTTGACAAATACAGTCCTACTGTCAGTATCCTCAACCCCACTGGAAAAAAAAAAAATTAAGGTTCTACAAATTGAAGAGCTTGAACATCTTTGACACAAAGCAAAAGGTAGAGAATGGACTTTCAAAGTGTAATAATCAGTGTCCAGCTAAGTTTTATCGGTATTGTTTTGTTACATAGGGTAAAGGTTTTGCCTTACTCATTTTCTTGCAGTTTCCTAGAAAATTGTTGACTTGGGATTCTCAGTTTATTAGTGTTTCAGCTGAAATACAAGAGGCTGTTTTACAACAAACAAATCTCTGTAGTTCTAGCTATAATAGTGATAATTTATAATGTGATGATTCTAGCTATGGGGTCTTCATGATGGGTTATAAATCAAGAGTATTGTTGTAAAATAAGCTGGAAGGATGGAACAATATTTTATAAATATATACCTGAGTTCCTACCACGCTTACTGTGTTGTAGATTCATCAGGAAGGATGCTTTGTTAGCTCAGGTGGGATTGGAAATAGGGAAACTTGTGTTTACCAGATAAAAAAAAACTATAAGCATGTTTTCACTTGGACAACTTCTCAACTGCAAGTCAAGCTCTCAGTTTAAAAGACCCATGTAAATGTACAGGAAGTCAAGCAGATGCAAAGGAAGACAGTTACTGTGCCAGTAGTCCATTTTGCTTATATTTGTGTAATGCTTGATACAGTGGAATTTAGGTTTAAGTTACAGATTGGCGGTTTTAAACGGACAGACAAAAAAAGTAGTAATTTTTCTATTTCCTAGAAACAATCTCCAAACTTAGTCAAGACTGATTTTTTTTTTTCCTCAGCAGTTTCCAAAGGAAGTAGATAAATTATGTTAGAAAATAAATAAATTTGATTAGAAAACTGGAGCTATGCCAGTAAAAAGTTCAGTTTAAATCAATAACTTTCTATGTTGGCATACCAATGCAAGTTTGTTCCACTAGACTTGGCAGTATTAGAAATTCAGTATGCATATTGCCACACGTAATAAACATGATAGACATTTTGGTAACTTTTTGCTCTACTGTGAGGTTTTTAGAAACAAAGATTTGTACATCTTCATATGTATCCAAAGATATCAATAAAAAAAAAAACCCAACATGGGTAGTTTGGTCAAGTATCAGCTATTTAGAATAGATCTGTTTCCAAAATTATTTTTGTCTTTATTTTCCTTTTGTAAGTTATGATTGGTCTGTCTGTAATTTCAGTGGACAACTTAATTGAAAGAAAAGCACAATTGATAAGGAAAAATTACTTTCAAGCTGGAAAGACTACTCATTGTTCAAGAAGAAAATAGTGATCCCTAATAATTTCTACAAAAAATTAAGCTCTTTCTTGTATTTTAATTGTTAGTGTTTCTTGCATACGCTTACAATTTTTTTTGTGTATTTTGTTTCAATGTCAGCTGTTCCATTCTATTCAGAGAACGTGTATGGAGTTGCTGAAAGCAATTGAACTGTATCAAAAAAGGATTTGTTGTAAGTATGATCAAATACAGTAGTTAAAATGATAAGGAGGTCTGCATTATGGTATCATAGAACAAGTGAAAAAGTAAAAATGAAGGTGGGGAGCTACTAGTTTCATCCTATTTAAAAATAAAAATAACATTCCTTGCAGACAGCTAAAGGCAGACTTGCTTATTTGCTTGGAGATCTCCTAGTTCTTAAGTTTTATATTTGATATTATGCAGTGATAGGTAGCAGTAATTATGGGAGAAATCTTGCTTTTTAAGGTTTTTTTTTTCCATTACTTGCTCGGCTTGTTTGAATTCAGAAGTGTCCTGTCTTAGAAATCCTAACTCTGTTCTGAACTGGTTTAATTTTTTTTTTAATTAGGATTGACTATGAAGAATATTGGGCTTACTACTAGTTTTCTAATTAAGTAATCCATGCTATTACAATGAATTTGATAACGCTGACTTGGCTGTAACAGGTGTACAGTAATTAGTGGCAGTCATTAGTGAGAGACGGGGACCTCATTTGGGAAGCTTAAAACAGCAGGTTGTATTAAATGACCTCTAAAGGTTCTCTGCAGTCAATATTGTTTGATTCTCTGCTGCTGTGATTTCTGGCCTGGCAAAGAGAATCCAGCTTTGGAGGCATCTTTCAATTTACTTTTTTTTTGTTGAATATTGTCCATGTTTTCTCCAGTCTTTCCTTTTTCTTTTGCCTGTCCAAAGAGAGTCAGAGATAATGTTTCAGGATCTGGAGGTAAAATCAGAATACAGAATAGTAGTGTATTGAGTTCAAGAAGATTTCCACAATAGCAGGTGAAATCTCTGATGTGCATGCAGCATGTTCTACCAGAGTATGCTATGAGTCTGCATTAGATCTGACTGTCAACATTTGGAAAAATGACAAGAGGACTTCGAGATCTTCTTTCATTATATTAGGCCATTCTCCCTATTGATAGTGGGAAGAAATTGGTACTGTAGGAGACAGCCGCTTTGGAAGACTAATAGATGAGGCCATAATGAAATGTTTTTGTAAGGATGTGAGATATGAAGACTATATGGTCCCAGTTTGGAAGTAGTCAACAAGTCAGTGTAAAAACACTTTTACTTTTCTTCATCTTCTTGTTTAAAAAACAATCTGTTAATTTGAAATAGAAATATTTCAGGTATTTGAAATATAAATTAAAAAATAGTGTTTGAATTCTGTAGAATGTAAAGTTGTAAAATAATCCTGCAAAGTAATTTGAAAATAAATGTTCTTTAAAATGAAGTACTAGATTTTTCATATGAAAAATTCATTTCTGTAGTCAAGCATGGAAAATGGAGAGCGAGAGAAAAGCAAGCGAACGAGCTTTGGGTAGTATAACTCAGAATTAGCTTCAGTGAAAGTATGCTACCAAAGATCAGCTGAGGCAGTCCGGGTGGTAAAAAAGGATTAAAACCCCCCCCAACCAAACAAACCAAAAAACTGAAGACTAAAAGATACTATAATCAAGGTGGGGCCCTTTGTGTAATCTAACCAACCTAATTCTTTTGTTCAAGAAAGAAATAGCATGTTTCTCCTGTTGTCTTTCGGCACTGATGGAATTTTGTGATTCTTGTTAAGTATATCAACAAATGTCTCAAGTGAATCAGATCTTCTGTTTAATAAATGCAGGAATTCCATGAAATTATTAATTTTTTTCTGTGCTGCTTGGATTTAGAGTGACTTAACCTATTTGATATTAGGCCAGTTTTAAAGCTGTTAGGAACCTATTAAATAACGTGTTTGACCACTCATTTATTTTTTGTTAGTTCTGTCTCAGGAAGAAAATGAATTGGGGAAATTTCTTCGATCACAGGGTTCTCAGGATAAAACAAGAGCAGGAAAAATGATGCAAGCCACAGGAAAGGCCCTCTGCTTTTCTTCTCAGCAAAGGTATATGTGTCAGAATTACTGTCTGATTTACAAAGTACGTGGGATAATGGTAGTTGATTCACCATTGGCATAATTCATTTTGCCATTTGAAATGTGTGAAGAACCAAATGATAGGAAAGTTATTATTGATCAAACCTGCTGTAGTATTGGCAATATTACTGGCTTGCTCTGTGTAGTTTTGCCTGATCCTGTTTTTTGTCTTATGGACCTGCTATGTCTGCATATCTCCAGATCCCCCACCTGTGCCTGTTCAGCTCAGCAGTTCTAAAGCTGTATGGGTGCATATGCACAGCCTCTCTAGCAGTGGGGTTGTAAAGGAGCTGATGTCAGCTCCCTCTCCTGCTTGGCGGCACTTCTCACCACTCTGCAGAGAAATGCTACAGCAGGCTCGTTGTGGAGGTGTCTGGGTCCTGGGAGGGCAGGGAAATGGGTAAGGGAATGCCTTTTTCTGGGCCATGGAGTCTCATACCTAAAGTAGATGGAGGAGAAAGGAGGAGTCTGAATGCCATTTTCTGCTTTAACCTTACACCGTGACGCCCCCCCCCGGAGAAGATCCTAGATCCCCACTGAGCTCATGTAGGTTGGGTAGGACCAAATCAGTAAAAAGTAAGGAATCCAGAAGGACACACATATACACAAACACATGCTGTTACCCAGAGCCCTTGATGTCTCACTGACCCTGTGTTTGCTCAAAGAGTTTAAAAGTAACAGTACCTGATGGCATTATGAGTATTATTATGCTTTTTTTAACAGTATTGGGACTATGGAAGTTTGAAATTCACCATCATTTGCAAGGGAAAATTCTATTCCATGATATTTTACAGGATTTTTTGGGGCTCTTAACTATTGTGATACTTTCCAGCTTTAGCTTAACAGTGCAGCTGTTTGGCTCAAAATAAAACATCACATACAGAGCACTGAGAATTTCATATGTTTCTCTTAGAGTTTGGTCATTAACACATCCAGTAACAGCCATGAGTGGGATCTTTAAAACACATGTAAGGCACCTTTGAGCAAAAGCCCTGATCATTTGCTTCTTTATAAAGCTTAACTGTTTATAGATATCCCAGTGTATGACATGGCTACATAAACTGAATTTTCCTTTGAATGGCTGGGTAAGTATCTGTAGAATGAGAAAAAATATGGGGGGGAAGCCACACTAAGAAGTTCAGATTTTATTATATCTCTTACTCAGTGAATTTTTAAGGCATCTTCTTAAATAAACTCACATAAAAATAAAACCAATTGTTTGTCTGTTCTCTTGAGCCATCCTCAAGCTCATGTTGAAGTTGGGACTGCTCTAATTTATGTTGCATGCCAATAGCTAGCTCAGTAGCTGGAGAGCAAGAAGACACAATTTGCTGGTTACTGGAGCTGAAATTAGAAATTCTCTTATGCCTAGGAAGTCCTCAAGTAGCACATTAAACTAACTCTACACTGGTGTGGAACTGATTGAACCCATTCCAGTGAGGTGGCTGCTGGCAACCAAGAGGAAAGGAGAAGCAACAGGAGGAAGCAGAGCAAAGGTTGAAGTAATCCTCTCTAGTTCTGAGGTCCCCTTAGGAGCCGATGTGATGGCATAGGGAAGACAACAGTGTCCCCTGCTGCCTTTCGAAAGTGTAGTTGCTGGAAGAAACATTTAAGAAAATCTTTCCAAAAGATAAATGTCCTTCAAAGGAATTGTTCAGATTCCTAAAAAAAAAAAAAAAGTAAAAAAATCAGATAATTATCTACTTGACAGATGACTTCTTTATTTACATGTACATTTGAAGATTACAAGGCTAATGGAAGTGCTTTTTCTGAGGCTTGACATGACAATCCCTATACATCTGTGGTATGTATCCAGTAATAAATTACCTCAGGTACATTTTTAGAGTTGTTAAATGCAACTTGTGAAGAGGAATGTTAATAGCATACATAAAATCAGCTTGGCTAACTAAAATACACATCCACATTAGAAAAGGTTTCTTTTCCACTCACATGTGTACATGAAAGGTCACTACTTGAATAGGAAGGCTGCAAACACAATATTCCTGCAAAATTACCCTCTTCATGTGTACCCCCAACCAAGGTGCAGAACAATCTGAACATACACTAGCACGTTAAGTGAACTATTTTGGCTGTATATGTTTTTTTGATTGCTAGTAAAGTGTCAGTAGTTGTATTAATCCATCTGCCTTTGTGGAACAACTTCTTTAACATGTTCCTCTCCTTCCTTCCTTTCCTTCGTGCCTTCCCCCAGATTAGCATTGCGTACTCCTTTGAGTAGATTATATCAAGAAGTGGAGACTTTCAGATATAGAGCCATCTCAGACACATGGCTGACAGTAAACCGAATGGAACAGTATCGGACTGAATACAGAGGAGCTCTACTTTGGATGAAAGATGTGTCTCAGGAGCTGGATCCAGATCTTTATAAGCAGATGGAAAAGTTCAGGAAGGTATGAAGTTTCCTGTAGTTTCCTAGAAGGGGATGGCTGATGAATGACAATGAAGCGTGGTTTTGATTCTTCTGAGGAAGACATAATTCAGCAGCACTAAGGATGCCATTTATCGTAACTAATCTTTTCCATGTGACAGAACTCCAGTTAATTTGATATGGAATACAGTATCCTTCACAGAGTGGGCTGTAAGGAAAGATACAGTAGTAGGAAACAGCATTTTTCAGTAGTCTATTCAACTTCTGCCTAAATCTTTATAATTTAAATAATGTATATTTTTAAAGAAGGTTATCTAATTTTAAATACTTAGCTGTGATACCTGAATGACTAATGGAAGAAGATATGTCTGCTGTCAGTCAGGCAAGGGAAAATTGATTTTTGCAACTAAAAAGTACAGAATAACAGAAATGCTGTAGTATCTGCTGCTAAATTTTTGGGTGCAGTTAAAGACCAACATTTTCAAAATTGGCTATTGTTGGATTTTGGCAAAAAGTTGCAAATTTGGAATTCATTTTTAAGTTCCTCGTGCAGTTCAGCATGGCTCTTGGGCAACTGCTAAACACTACAGCTGCTAAGAATGCACTCTCCATAAATCATCTTCCTTCAGTGTCACTCAAGTTTGCTATACTCCTCCCCTCCCAAAGGGCTTCCAAAAGTCACAAGTCCTAGGTGGTAGTCTGCAGATTTGCTACCAGGTGCAAGTATAGAATTTATTTGGACTGATCCTGTCCCAGTCGGTTCAGGAATGCTCATGAGAACTTCACATTTGCTAATGTGAGGCTCTAGAGCTGATTTTGTTAGAGAGTATAACATTCACAATTTGCTGTCTATAAATCTTGACTATTAGGAGGAGTTAGGATCCTAGGTATAACGTGGTGGCTTGTGCTTTGACTAAAGGCAGTAAAAAAATTTACAGAAATTTTGTGATAATTGGAAGCAGAGGCCTAATAACAGAAATTGTATTAAAGTGTACGTGCATATATGCATGTGAGTGTGTCTTAGAGACAGGTAATGTACAAAAGAGAAGCCCTGTTCATTGATGGCTTCAGCAGTCTGTGACTGAAAGTGTTTGGAGATGTAAGATACTTAATTCAGGATTTTAAAAGCTTGAATAAACCATCCTAACGGGAAAGGACTGGCATGCATCTAGGCTATGCCATTTTTTGTAAACTGCAGTGGTGACAATAGCAATTAAGGAAGGGATGGAACAAATGAAACCCTAGCTCGTCATCTAAGCTTTATTTAATGCTTCAGTACAGGATATTCCTGTGAGTCTTGTGGCACCAGACATGTATTTTATTATGCCTTGTGGGAAATGTTTATAATGGCAAGTTCTTGCAGGTAAAATAATTGGTATGTCTTGGCCTCAGCCAATTGCATATGTATAATGTTTGATTTATTAGAAAAACACTTAAAAAATGGAATGTTAGAATTAATAAAGCAGTACTGGTAATGGTCATACAAAAATGATTTATAGCTTTCTTGCAAAACAAATGCTATGGAAGATATAAATTATATAAATGGCAAAGTAATTAAAATAATGTATGCTTTGTACGGTGAGCTGCTGTAGTTAAAAAGTTAGATGTGAAATTTCAGCCATCTTGGGTTGCTGTGCTTCAAGGTCAGCAAAAATAAGATTGATTTTTTTTTTTTTTTAAAGCTCTCACAAAACTTAGTAGTAAAAATGTGGAAAGACTAAATATTTTGAAATATTTCTAGATCGAAATGAGTTATTTGCTGACACAAAGAAATAATGAATGTAGATTCTAAAATTCTGTAGCATTACCTCAAATAGTTTAAAAAAACCCCAAACTTGGAGAAGGTTTTTTGAACCTTTCTTTCTTTCCCCAACTGGCTGTCAACTGAAAACCTTTCAGATCACATTGTAATGCAGAGAACAAAAAGCTCTATATTTTGTAGCCGACAAAGTAAAGAAATGCCCTTGGTATCCACTTCCCTACATAACCCATCTGTGCAACAGGCATATCAAACTAGTCTTTGAAGATTTTAACACTTGCAGAAAGTAAACTTTTTCTTTTTTCATTTTGGAAAAAAAAATAACATTACAAAAATAAAATCCTCAAGTGTAATGTACCTAGATAGCTGTTGCTGAACAAGACACAACAGTTTGTTTTTAGTGCTTTACAAGTGTAGTAGGCAAGCAAAACTAATGGTGGATACTGTAGTCCTAAATAATTAAAGTAGAGGAGTTATTTTTATTGTCTTTTTGTTCTATTCTTGCTTGCAGATCTTAATTGTGCCATAGTGTGGCAGTGTAATGCTGGGTTTTTAGGGCTTATTTTGGATCTGTAACAACTATTTAAGAAGTCATGCTAGTTTTGTGTTGAGAAAGATATCATAATTACTGATGTAAGGTTTGGTTCTAAAATATACCATCACCGGAGAGAAGCGTTTGATCTGGAGCTGCATATCTAGTGATACACCAGCAAGTAGTTAATGAAGCTGATCCTGTCGGAGCACTTGAAAGAAAGTTCTCTTCAGACTTCTAATTGTAAAAATCCTAAGTATTACTTTAGTAAACATCTTTTTTATTTCAAGTAAACAGTGCTGGTTTAGTGATCTTTAATGCACCTAGTGCATCAGCAGTATTTATATCACTTGGTTATGGGACTGTTTTTCAAGTATGTAGCCTTTTATAATGTAATCCTAAATGTATCATTATGTATACAGATATGGTACTTGTTTTTGGAGACCAAAGCTAAATCAATCCAGATGGGGTTTTCGTACCTTCCCTCAGAATAACTCAGGCTAAAAGATCAATAGTTGAGTCAGTATTTTCAGAGCTGATAAAATCTGAGTTAAAACATTGGCATTTTTGTAGTTCTCTTTCAAAACAATGAGGTACTTGAAAGAATTTTCTAATGCTGTTCTCAAGGCATCGGTCTAAATATGCGAGACCCAGCAATACCACCACTTTCAAAGTGTCCCAGAACACTGTAGAACAGCCTTTTTGTGTTGTTATTTGAAGATATCCATGTGATTGTAACTACTTGAGTCAAACCAAAGAAACAGGTGAAGTATTTACTTTTGCCTGCAGAGATCTGTAAATGCTGTGTACCTTCATTCTTTTTTTTTTTTTCTGTTAACAGTTTTTATGGACACTCCAGTGCTGTTCTAGATATAGAGGTCTTCCATCCCAAGTTCAGAGTTTGAAGTGTTGCTTGAGAGAATCTAAGCAGCGCCTTGGCAATGCTGTGATATTTAAAAGAATTTGAGTGAGTTAATAGCTCTTTACCAAATTCTCCACCACTGATCAGGTTTTTAAGGTTGTTAAATCCAGGCTGTTTTGTCTGTCTGGTGACTGTACGCTATAGCATGAGCTCTGCCATGATGTTGTAAAAATATAGACCAAATTGCCCAAGTGCTGGTAGTCCCCCAGTGTCCTTCCTCCAGCTCTGAAAAAATTAAGCTTTTCCATGTATTTCCTGAGAAGGAACATGCCAGTGTGCAGAGTGATAGGCTATGCCACCAGGCAACAGCCTCCCATGGGCAGCCTACAGGAATACAGAAGAGGCTCTGCTGTTCAATTTTACTTAGCTAAGCTATCTCAGATGCTTATACAGTGCAATATAGACTTTCTCATCAAACCTAGACATTACAGTGCCACCCATAACAAGTAAAAAGTGAGGGCTGAAAAAATTATCATGCTGACCTTTAGGCGAACTGTAAGAAAAATTACATCTGTGACATGGCAGGATATATATCATGCTACATTGATAGAGCAAATTAATCCTTTTTACATTTGTTTTTCGCTTCCATCATTCTTCTACTTCTCTGCTTCCCCTTCATTCTGAGGCTTGAACCAAATCTGGAGTAGCTTTGTAAATACACACTGGCCATGCTGGGATCCCTGAGACAAGCCGCACTGCAGCAGTATACTGAGAACTGGGTACCTGCAGGGTTGGGCTCTGTTTCTCCCTGTTGTCTAGTCCTCTCTGCTTTGCCAAAGCTGCTTTCCTAGGAGCTCTGCTTCTGTATGAACCAAATGAAGCTCAGATGGGAGAAAGAATAGATTGAAGCTGTGTAAGGGTAAGGAGTGATGCATGGGCTGGTTGCAGCAGAGCTTTGTAAACACTATGAGATTCATCAGCTTGGAATACAGTGCAAGTCCTTCATCTATCTCTATGGCACTTGGATATTACAGCAATAAATATCTGAGTTTGTAAACCAGTATGTATTAGATGGGCTACTGTCTGGAAAAAGAGTTGGGTTTTGATCAATATATTTGCACGGGGTCTGTCAGGGGAACAAGTAGCATGGTTTGTGCTGGGCCTCCTTGTTCTGGAAGATTAGAAAGGCCCTACTCCTCAGTGCAGAGCCCCAAACTACTTCATTGTTGTTAAAGTGGAATAGATCCTACCATGGACGAGAATTGTCAAAATATTCTCCAGAAGATCCTAAACAACTATAGGACCCTTAATGCCTAGCTGTTACTTTGCACGCAGCTGTCAAGAAACTTGTGAGCTTGCAGCTGAGCTGTTTGGGCACAGTTTATCTCTAGTTCTTCCTAGCTGTAGCACTCTATATACTTGAAACAAAATTAATACCCTTAAATGGCATTTTAAAGATAAATCTGGCAAGAGAAAAGGAAAGGCAGTGAGAAAAAGGAAAGTTCAACAAGAAGAACTCGTAATGATATAACAATAGCTTAAACTGTTGTTTTTATAAATGTACTAATGTAGGGAGTGGCTGATCTATGCAAGTTCTCTGTTAAATATCTTCTAAGAAATAGAAGTTAAAGCTTGTGTGGACAGCTGGGGAATAATGAAGTTCTAAATAAATCCATTGGTCAGAAGGGAAACACTGAAGTATATGTATTCATTGTAAAGATCTCAGCAAGTATGGATAAGATACATCTGTCGCAGCCTTACAGGGAAGGCTCGGGACCTACATCTCTGTTCCCCTGCTGTCTCCTTGCCTACTAGCACTGCCTGCTATGAGTGCGTTTTGACTTGTGTGATGATGAAGGGGTTGTACCA